GGGCGATTCCTGGGGCTGCCACGCCTGAGCTGTTAATAGGGAGCTGCTCGCTAGTCCAACGATGACGGAAGGGTCGAGAAGGAGGGGCCGCCCGATCGACTGTCATCCCGAGTCCTGTGGAGGAGACTCGGCAACGCGCCTTTAGGGACGTGCCCATTTTCTTCGTTCCTCCGGACAGCTCAGGTCTCCTCGCGGGACCTTCCTGCTGGGGAAGCCTGAGCCCCGGAGATGCCTCTCGCGCTCTGCTTGCGCACCGGTGCGGAGAGAAGAGAGCGGAGACCTACGCCCAGGTGTGGGGCTTCTTCCCGCAAGGCGCAACAGCCTCATCGTGTCGCGCGTTCACCTTTGGGCGGCCGACCGCGAGGGAGCCGAAGCTCTCCTCTGGACTCCTCCGGCGCCCGTCCCTACCCCTCGGCCAAAGAGAAGCGGAAGCAGACCAGCAAATGGATTGGAAGTGAGGCTAAGGCGCTACTCCTTACCGGCCAAGATGGCCAGGATGTGGTGCTGCTGGGGGCAAAGCACAAGGAGGAGCCTCATTCCAAAGCCAGCGCGTAGAAGATAATAGCTGTGGGTTCAAATTGTGTGCTAAATCAGTTTGTCATAACCATGGTTTGTTGAGTAAGCCATGATGACTAGGCTTACAAATATGCTAGCCTTAAACCATGCTTTACAGTGACAATATGGCTTGTGTAATGTGCAAACCCAGTTTCTGCCTAATGTAAGACTGCTCTATTCCTCACAACTAACTGTTTTGTCCTACCTGCTGGGCTAGTGAAGGTGAGAAATACATTTCTCAACCTGTCCTGCCTTAAGTGCCAGAACTGTTATATATCTGTCCTCATACAGCAGCATCTGCCATAATCCCCAATCACAAGATATAGGCAATGACATCATGACACAAATGTCACTCTTACATACTTGGGAGAGTTTGGCAATCTTGTATGATGTTTGATTTTGCAATACTGCAAGCCCACTTAGGTACAAATACCTTGCTGACTTAAGTTTTGTATCATGCTAAGCAATCTGTTATTAATCATGATTTATTGAATAAACCATAAACATTAACCATAGGTTATAAAACTGCGTTGGCTAGGTCAAAACAAATTGCAATATAGTGTAATGTTATACAGTATGTAAACCCCTTACTTTGGCTAGGTTCATGTGTCACATAAAATCAGAGTTAAGTACCAGAAGGTATCCAGGCAAAACCAATCAAGCCTATGTGTCTTTGCCCTGAAGTAAGCTCTGCCATATTGGGGGAGTTACTCTCCTATAAGTCCTATGCATAAGATTGCGGTCTTAATTAGGCTACAGGTTGGATTTTCTCACTTGATACAGCATCAGACCTCCACTTACATAAATAACAATACCTAATTAATTTGTCACAGAAAGAACAAAGTGGAGTGATCCATATCTTTTACAGCTACAGGAGAGATTTAATCATTTATGTTCAAACTTAGATGATAATGGGTTTTTTTTCACAGTCTTGGTACAGTGCAGATGCTTATTTATTATTACCGCAATCACTGTCATGCTGCAATTCAAAAATATTAAGAGGTGGTGTTGGAATTATAGCCTGCTTTAAGAATAGCCAAGGAGTCTTTGAATCATTGATTTGCTCAGTGCTCCAAGTCACTCTTCTTAAAGATAACATCTAAATGGTAAAATTCATTATATAGACTGTGAAATGGATCAGGTTATTTAAAACAACACCACTAATGGTACAATATCTCAGCTGTCCTCACTGATATGGGACATTGTCTTGGATAGTGTTATCAGTTCAGGACACCCGCTATGAATATTGATCCAGAGCTTGTAAGAGCCATCACTTGCCCGTCAGGACAGGTCAGGGTTGAAACCTACGTAGCATCAAAGCAATTTAAAGAGCACTCCAACAGAATCTTAATGTCTGCCTGAGCTGAAAAACAAAACAACCCAAGTGTGTGCCAGTATGTGCCTGCATGCTGGTGACTTGGCTATATTTAATGACGCCCTCCAGCCCAAAGCTGATACTATACAAATTCCATGTGTTATACTACATTAAAAACGAATCAATAGCTATGCTATATTCACTGGAACATATTCTGTGATGAACATATTGCCATACTTTTCTTTTTCACAATAATGTATATACTGGCATAGGGGCTATTTTGAAAGAAAGGAGAATCCAGACAAATGGATATATGGTTATATTTAAACAAAGGTAATATTGTAGGAACACTCTAAAATACAAAGAGAATAGTTTGATTTCCAGAGCAGTCAGTTATATTTGGTGCCTGAAGTTTTATGGAATCATACATAAGATAAAATCAGGATGTATACATAACTTTTGTACCTGTGCTATCCGGTTTTTGTGATTATTATTCCTGTTTAGACCAATTTTCTGAAATTTTCAACCTTCTGTGACAAAGTTACAGATTTTTTCCCCACTTTCTTCCAATTAGTATCCCAAATATATACTGCCTCTGCAATTCTACATGAGTTTAATCAAAATCAGTTTAATTAAATGGTTCATATTCTCAGGTAAGTATATACAGCTTTTATCTCTAGTTTTGGCCATAATAAAAGCATGGCTATATGTGCCCCTAGCAATAATTCATTTCAATGGGACCTATTGCCATGTAAGGTACTTTTCAAGATGAGTAATAGTGGCAGAACCTACCTCGGGGAGAAGATTAAGATGTACTGTCAGATAAATAATGGCTTGTGCGATTATTCCCATACAGGCAATATTTATGCCATCTCCTGAAATCATCAGTGAATCATGTTATTTTACCTATTGTCCATTGAGGTACAGGATGTGTCTTTATTAAATTCAGCTGATTTTTTTTCTCCTGCCCTTCTCATTTTTCAATTCAGTTATTTGCCTTTATTTCTGATTTACAATATACATCATGCATTTCCTCTTGCACTTCTTTTGCCTGTTGTAGGGAATGTCATATAATGATTATTGTTCATTATTTTACATCTTTTTCTAAAGCTTGTTTTGCAAGGAGCAAAAAAAAAAGTAGAAGGAAGGAAAAAAGGAAAAAGAATAGATCAAAGATTTACAAAATATAAACATGACATAAGCATTTACAAATTGTTACAAGAAAAAAAGGAAAACATTAAATTGTTATTCTTACAAATAACTTCAAATTGGAACAAATATAAACATATCCATTTGTCACTTTAAGCATTAATATTAGAATTGAATCAGAAATTTGCATCTTGTTGGTTTAAACATATAGCAGTTAAGTAAAGGGGTTCTACAGTTAGGTCCAAAAAGGCAAGATGGCAGTTGCACGTGCACAGTCAAAGCCCTGCCCCTTTTTAATGTGCATCACTTCCTCTTGCAGATGCCCAGGGTTAAGAAGTATGATAGAGAAAACAAAATGAAGTGATTGGATCAGTAATATTATTCATGTATCAGCAAAGCAGATGATAGAAATGTTTCATCTTCACTGGGATAGAATTTCCTGCCTCTTGAAAGTGAAATATTTCTTTTACATTTTAAGCAAAATTATTTCCTGCTGCACTACTAACACTGAGATAATAATTAGGCAGACCTCTTAGAACATTCATTTCAATGGCCTTAGACATATATAACCACACACAGAATCAGTCTGAAATAAAACAAGGACAGATGCACTAATCCAGTGTGTTTGATCAGGGTTTACTGAATAAATGGGCCAGTCGCTCTCTCTCAGCCCAACTCACCTCACAGGGTTGTTGTGGGGAAAATAGGAGGAGGAAGGAGCATTACGTATGTTCACTGCCTTGAGTTATTTATAAAAATAATAAAGGTGGGATAAAAAAAATTTAAAAAACAACAAGTATTGGTTGGGGTTGCACAATGGTAAGTTCACGTGTCATATTAGCCATCTCTCTTCATCAGCCGTACTGGCTAGGGCTGTTGAAAGTTATAGATTAGTAATACCTGCAAGGTACCTACAGGTTGTTCAACACAAACCATGATTTGCAAGGCATAATGGCTGGGTTCACACTACACATTAAGGAAAAACCTAATAAACCATTATTAAGGCTTATTAAGTCTGCAAACCAATCACAGAATTACACAAAGGGGAAAGAAAGAACATAGAAAAAAATTGTGATTAAAAAAAGAAGGAAGTGTAGATAGTTAAGTCAGCTAAATGCATAATGTCATAAACCTGATCCTAATGGGTTTAATGCAGTAACACAAAATGTACGTATAATAGAGAATTTAACAACTGGTTTCTAGATTATCTGAAGCAGACCAGCTAAGATTATTGACTCTTAGTACTTCAGTAGTAACAACTACACTGCTAAATTACATTGTGAAACTAAGAAATCTGATCAGGGGATGTTTTCAGGAATAGTTTTTCAGGTGAAAGGATTGTGACTTCAGTTTAGTGGTGATATTCAAAAGAAATCCTTGGGCTCATAATTTTAAAAATATAATCCCCTTTTCATTTGGCACCATTTGATGGATCTCACTTTTCTATTTTTTTAAAACAAAGTAGATTCCATAAGCTGATGTTTTCCTATCCCTATGTTATGGGGATCAGAGGCTAGATTCTTTGAAAGTAAAACATCAGAATATGTAGGGGGCATCTGTATAATTTGGGATGCTAATTCACACAATAATAGGAATGAATGTGGCATAGTCTTTTGAGAGGTCAGCCACTCCTGCCCCCCTCCCATCAACATCTGCTAAATTTATTGGAGTTTTGCCTCTAATATCTGCAGTGTTCCCTAAAGTGTCCAAAATATTTAACAAGATAGCATTCATGAAATCCGGTGGCCAAAAAAAGAAGAAAGGATTCAAAGCTCTGTTGCTTTGTGTATTTCACTTTTTCACCAAACCTACCAGAGGTATTCGGTGCTTTGGGCATGAATTTGTGTTCTAAAATCTCCATAATTTGTATTTGCAAAGGATGTTACAAAACACAACCATAACATTGAAAAAAATGGGAACATTCAGAACATTTATCAACTATAATCAAAGCTGCATGACTATAATGGATCGCGTTTAGCTAAACTCGGGAGCTGCAGAGTGTTTCTTCAGTCACCACAAGTTTGTCATATTTCTGTAGATAATTGACATGCTCTAATAATGGTGCAAAATGTCCTAAATGAAACATTGTTTTTCAGGTTAGAGTGTTTGGATAAGATCCAGAGTAAGAAAGGACAGGAGAGATTTTAGCTGGATTCACACATTGTACAATGCCAGAACCAAGAAACCATGTTACAGCTTGAGGAGGGGGAACTAAGGGAATGTTCTCCCTTAAATGGTTCATCAGCTGGGGACTGAGAGGCCTAAAGCTTCACTTTGGTAATTTTCTCCTCCTAAATCCATTCCATACCTGTTAACAATGCTAATGACTGATCCATTGTCCCTTGGTGAAGGAGAGAAGAGATGTTATTGGCCTCCCAGTGCTATTTTTGGATGGAACATTTAAGTTTTCAAAGCCTTCTAATTTACCTTTTGAAAAATGACCAAGCATGGGCTGACAGTACCACTTATAAAACTGCATTGTAATGTGGGTGGGTGGGTGTGAGGAGATGCAAGAGAGTTTCATGCTCCTAAGTTGTTTCTCTAGATCAGAGGAGTGCTTTGAAATTCCTTACTTTCTTTCAAATTCTGAATCTCTCAGCCCACCTAGGTTTTCCAACCACAGCTCACATCTGCATTTGCAAAAAAATTATTTTGGTGCTGAAGCTGTTCTACTACACTTTTGAAATGAGCTCTCTTTTCTATTGTAAATTGGTTGGTAGACAAGGGGCAGGCCTCTAACCTTTGGGAAAACCAAAAGGAAGATTGGCTCTAAATAAATCTTCACTATCAACAATAGGATATGCCCCTCATTTCAACTTCAGCTCCATTAAACTCAGCATCAATTAACATGGAATAGATAACTGAAGAAAGCTGATGTAACACTTACTATATAGAATAATGGCAATGGATTTACTTGGCTCTCTCTTTTCAAGGACTGGTTAGAAAATTACTTTTTTTTTTTTTTGCTTTGCAGATCAAAATACATACTTTGCATTGATTTTAAAGTTTATATTTCTGAATCTTTGAACCTTTTAAAGATGAATTTATTCTAAAACTTGTCTTATTCTCTCTTTCTTTTCCCACTTGAGGGATGGGGTGGGCAATCTTTTCATGGCTGCAGGGTGCACTTAATGGTTTTTCAAAGGGAAAATGAGAGGTCAGGGGATGTGAAGGGTTAAGCGAGAATTTTGTGTATGTATGTGTGTTTTCCTTTTGGGAGGAACCAGCCTTTTTCTTTTTAAAAAAGCTTTAGTCTTACGCTACAACCAGTGTGGCTGTATTTCCTGCCTCAAAATGATAGAAAACTGAAATCTGGCAAATCACTCAGGGAGAAAAGGTATCCAGGAGTTGTAAAAGATTTAGCTGTTGCAGATTGTCCATCCCTTCTATACAAGGATTTTTTAAAACTGAGATTTAAATATGTGCATTGGAAAAACAATATTTCCCAGAAGAATTAGAAAAGAGGAGCAAAATATTTTAGCTAGTACCTCTTTCTCAGATGATACAATTCTTTAAAAATAAATCAGGGACTGTAAATGCTTTTAACACAAAGAATGATAAATGTGCTGCAGTATTTTTATTTTAATCCAGTTGAAAAGAAACAGCAGTTGAATTTATTGGCTTTAAATATATGCAAGTTTTAGGATGCTGCAATCCTCTACACATTCATTCTATGAAGTAAGTTCCATAGAAACCAATGAAGCACTAAATTCTATGGGACTTACTTCATAGAATAGATGTTAAGGCACATATAGGACATGCAGTTCCATAGAGGGCCACAAGTTCCTCACTTCTCCTAGTGGAGCCTGTGATCTGTACAACTGGCACTGGTTTAAATGTGACACAAAAATGCTTTTTGAAATGCTTCTGCAAGATAACTCAAGCATGGAAATGTGATATAAGAAACAGCTTTCCAGAATCATGTTCTATTGGGCTGTATTCAGACCTTCATCTATAAAAACATCATGTAGGGCTGGTGGGCATGTGCATGTTTACTATGCTTTGACAGCACTGTTAGGCACAAACCACAAATAGATAATTTTTCCTGCCCTCACATCACTTCAAAGATTACAGTGGAAGCAGATCTAACATTCAGCTGCAACTGACAAACCATTATCAACGTATATTCACAGATGTGTAATCTTTTTTTTAAAAAAAAATCTTGCTGTAGAGTTTCAATGTGCAGGTACTTTTACCATCCCTTTGAAAAGTCAATTTAGAATCTCCAACTGCGTACTGACAGAGGCCCCTTAAAAATTATACAACCTGGACTTTTCCTGTGTGGTACCTAGCCAAAAAAGTGTTTACCTATTACATGTTGCCTACCTAAAAAAAAAGTGTTTTAATTAAAAATACTTTTGGAATAGTATGGTCTACCAAGCTTATCAGTCCAGGAAAAAGAGTGGCTGTTATTCTCCTAGCCAAAGGACGCATTTGTACAGATGTTTCCAGTGTTCCAGTGCCACCAATGAAATGATGGTAGTAATTGGCTGGCTTCACGCATTGTTCTAAGCCATAAATTTAGTAACTATGATTTACTGGCTGGCTTAACACATCATGCTAAGCCTCCAACAAGAAAATCACATGATGGCTTAATGTAACATGCAAACTAACAGTTATCTGATCTTTGCCTCTTTTCTGTTAGGAAGAAAAATAGGTGGAAAAAGTAAGAGGAGAAGGCAAGATTGTCTGGACCCCAGTGAACAAGACAGAACAAACTGCATGAAAAAGACACATCTGGAAGCATCCTAGGGCTTACAGCCTGAACTTCTACATGTTAATTCTGGAACAACTGAGGATTTCAGTAGGACTTAGAATGCAAGCCTATGTGTCTTCTCAGAAATGGGTGCTCTCAATTTCAGCTAGCTTACTCCTATAGAAGTGAGTATAATACTGCAGCTTCAGTGTACATAATAATCGGAGCAGGTGGAGAGACAGATTATACATGTAGTTGTTTCATCTCATGACTGACTGAATTTACATAAAAGTCATAATGCTGGATGCACCCACATACCCCCAAATCATCAGTCTAAAGGTTTTCATGAGACATCCATTTTTAGCCCTGACAGCTTTTTTTTTTTTTTGGCCTACTTTACATGTTAAATTCTGCATATGCTATGATATTCTTAGAAGCCAAAGAACTCAAAGGCTTTGCCTTTGTTTACAGCCCAACAGTAGATAGACCAGCTTAGAAGTCCCCATCACTCCTGCTCCTGTCGTATCCCAGAGAAAGAAATCAAGGACGCTTGAAAGAAAACTTAATAATTTGGGCTGGAATTTTACGCAGCCTACCTGGGAATAAACCTTGCTGAATTCAGCTGGATTTAGTTCCCGTAGAGGATTGCACCATAATTTATTATAGGAAACACTTTTTGCTGTCATTTCACACTCCAGAGGCGGGATGGGTGGGGGGAAGAGCAGCGGTCTGTCCCCAATAACCTGCATGCTTTTCTCCATGAGCTTGGGTAGACAAGCGAAATCATCATCATCATCATCATCATCACCACCACCTACTACTATGAGAGCCACGCAATTCGGCAGAGAGCCCCCTCCTTCCAATCGCAGCCCCTTTCCCTTGTCCAGGCTGGACCCTCCTTCTCCGCCCCTCCTCCTCCCCCCCCCCGGCAGAGACTCCCCTTCTTCCTAGGCGAGCATCTCCTAAGTCCAGGCTCGCTCGCCTCATCCGAAGGCGACCCCCGCCTCTTATGGACAGCCTCCCCCCGGAATCCAGCCGTGCGTCTCCCCACCAGCCGAGCTGGCTCTTTCCTGGCCCGCTCATTTGCGGCAAGTCCCGGGCCACCGCAGACTTCCTCGGAGCTCGGCGGGGGAATGCCGGACTGCCCGGACAGCGGGGCCAAAGGCCCCCCACTCCATTCGAAAATCACCTTTTCCATCCTCGACATCCTGGATCCGCAGAAATTCAACAGGAAAAGCCCTTCGGCGGCTGGGAGATGGGATAACGCGCCGTTGGCGGGGGGAGACCGAGGCAAAAGTTTGGGAGGAGTTGAACTGGAATCCGAGCGCCGAAGGAGCGAGCTCGAGGCATCGCACGGTAGGCGCCTCGTTCCTCTGCTGCGAATGAGATCCGTGGGCTTCCTCCCTTCCCTTCCCTTCCCTCCCTCCCTCCTTCCCCGCCTGGAGTTCGTTCATCCCTGGCAAGCATTAAACGGGGCTTCCAAATATCCTTTGAACCTCCAAGACCAGCAGCTTCCCAAGGCGCCGAAGCAAAGGCCGCAGAGGCTGGTCAGACCCTAAAAGGCGAAGCCTTGCGCGGCCCAGAGGTTTGTCGCCTTCCTCCCATGATCGCTTCATGACAGAGTGACCGGGGGG